TTAAAATTTTACATTTCTGCTTTAATTTGCGATATTCAATTTGATTCAATTTATATTGATGCACATTGTGTAAATTAAATGCAAAAAAAAATGTTTTTTAAATAATTTTAATAAATCTTTTCTCTTATATAAAGAATGGAAGAATTATATCATATATAAATTATCGCTATCAAATGTGCGACTGATATAACATGGCACAATTAAGTATAAATATCCTCATCAATCTCACACACGATGTGCTTAATATCTTCTGTATCAAGATTCAATTGATGTTTATCAAATTATTGTCTTAAACGAGTACATTTTAACGAAGTTGAGATAATTACGCCGAAACTGAAAAATAATTTTGTAGAACTTAGATCAATAGAATAATAATAAGGTATTTAATTTCGTGTAGGTAATATTGATATTTATAAAATTGAATAGAAAATATAAATAATGTAAAGATAACTATGTATATATGTACAGGATGTTTAGTAATAGTCCTAACATTATTAGACAAAACGATTATTCACTTAAACTTAATAGTAGCTCTATCTAACAATATGAAGTAATCTCTATCTAACAGTATGAAGTAATCTCATATATTACCTACTTCCACTCTTTCTGTATAATTCTGCTCTGTAGGAATTATACAGAATTAAACAGAAAAGTACAATAGTTACCAGCAATTTCCACAGCCAAATCATTATTTTATAAAAAAGCATTTAAGAAATATATATATTATCAATTTTATCAATGTTGTAAATACATTTCTCTTTAAAAAAATTACACTTAATAACAGCATATTTATTAGTTTTTAATACAAAACAACTTGACACAAATTCTCAGCAAAAAATATCAGTCACAACATATGTAAATACATTTACTCGATCAAAACGTTTATTAAAGTATGAGGAATTTATCATTTTGCTTTAATCAACAAAAAAATATGTTATATTAAGATGTGTTATTTTGCTGATTTGTGCAAATATTTAAGCTGTGTTTTAATATACACTGCCAATACTAAAAATCTACAGGATTATTCATTTTAATCTTATTAGGTAAAAATTTTAGAAATATATAATTTTTCCAAGAAATATTCCAAATAAAAATTTTATGGCATATAAAGGGACATACAACGGGTTTTGTTTGGAATTTTTTCTTTTTGATAAAATTGTATATTTTCAAAAAATGTACCTGTTAATACTAAAATAAATCATCCTGTACAACGTCATTTGTACTAATATAAATAGAGATGTAAAAAAGATGGTATTTTTGACTTCGGAGAAAAGTATCAAGTAAAAAAATTAGTTTTTTTTACTGTAAATAACGGTATTTTTGATGAAATTACATAAAATTCATGAAAAAACATATAGTTATTTCAATATAAAATATTTGAATGACAGATATTTTATACTTAAAAGCTAAATAAATGATATTATTAATACAGATAATATTTTATAAGCATAATAGATACTGTTTTATTGCATATTATAATTATAATTATACTCTGTATTTTAATTATTTTGAGACAACATCCCAATATAATATTGATTCAAGAGTAGTCAATTAGAGATTCAATAAACGTCATCTCACTAATTTAAATTTAGAATATGTATAATTACAATCACAGTTTACAATAAAAACAGTGTAAATTAGTCTAGTAAAGTATTATTTTTATTTTAATAACAGTATGGAATATTTATTTAACTTTTAAAATTGAAGTACAGTATAAAATATCATTTAAATAATAGTAAGGTATATTTATAATCATCGACATTATACTATATTAATCATTATACTATATTTCAACTTTTGTAACTATTTTCACACAGAAATCTTATGGATAAGTGCAAAAACTCTAAATTTTGGAACAATAATACAACGTCGAAATTGTGAAATGTTAAAAAAAATATCCGAATAAAAAACTGTCAAAGCCAATGGAAAAAAACCATTATTTTCCTGACGTCTTTACTCTAAAAATTCTAAAATTTGTCCATCTCTAAATATAAACTTATAATAATGCATAGATTTTCATGTGCATTATTTTTCAGGTGCATAAACTTTACTGGCAATGTATAACCGAACGCGCAATTAGTTGCACGAGTTACATTGAACATTAGAAAGTCGGCAGTTTAAAAATAGAAATAGGAAGGATAACAAGTACTCAAGCCTTAGCTCATTCTTTCCATGAAAAATCAATCTTTAAGCAACAGAGGTTCGTTTTATCGGAATCCTTTTTTATAAATATAATAAAAAAATATGTACTCTGTGTTCAAAACTTTTAGTCATCATATAATTTGCCTATCTTTATTACTTTTACTGATAGAATTTCAAGTAAAACATGGCTACATGAATCATTGTCATTTTATGTGGCCTTAGTATAAGTATAACACAACGATATCAAGTGTAATCGTTAAAAATGGTAACTATTGTGTCACGGAATGACACAGTTATAAAGATTATATTTCAAAATATCAAAAAGTAAAATAAAATTGCTATCTTATTAAATTATCTATAAATATAAAGAGCATAAAGGCCAACGCTAGATTTTATTGCGAATCAAAACATAATAAACATTCGTTTATAACGTTCTAATTTGCAATAAGATTTAGCGTTGGCTTTTATGTTTTTTTATATTATATAATAAACTTTAACTTTTTGATGACATGAACGGAGAAAACAAAATTTTTTCTTCAAATGTATTGCAAAATATAACATTTTTTAAAAATGTTTTTTTAATCATTATGCTATGGTTTTTTTTTTAGAACTGCGTTCTAATGATATAAAATAAAGCAATGCTTTTTCAAATCTTTTTTTCTAAAAACTTATATTTGCAAGTCACATCAGTAATCTGTCACAACAATTTGAAATGCTTGACTTCTATTAGTATTTTATATCTTCATAGTATTAAAAAAAATGGAAGCACTTTCGATATAAAGATTTTACTTCTATAAATTTAATTGTCACGAAATTGTAATCATCGCAAATTTATGGCGTATATTCGAAAAAATAACGCGCATAGTACATGTAAAAGAAAAGTAAAATCTTTATGTCAAATATGTTTGCATTTTTTGGTAATAGAAAATAATTTTCAAAAATGTAGTCAGTTCAAATTGTTGCAGCAGAATACCAGCACACAATGACAAATAAAAGTTTTTAGAGAAAAAATTAAAAATACACTACTTACTTTAAATCGTCACTACAAAAATTGTAGCGTAATGATTAAAAAAGCATTTTAAAGAGGTTTTGCGACACAAAGAAATTTACAAAAAAAATTGTATTTTCCCCGTACACGTCATCAAAGTTAAACTTCAATTTTTCAAAGCTCAAGCCCTAAACACAATGCGAAACAAGAGCAATAGCGATAGAAATAACAATAGTGATAGAAACTGAAAGATCCAAGATTCGAAAATGCATATGTCAATGCACATAAGAACACAGAAAAGCAATAGCGATAAATTTCCAACGAGTTGGAATTCTATGTCTTATAGCCTACTAAGCGTTTAGATTTTTCATTTTGTTTATGTATATGCTATAATCTTAAAGCAGATAGAAGATGTAGTTTATATGCGATCAAATTGGTTGGCCTTTTTATTTCTTTTGCTGCATTGTGCAACAAGAGCGATAAATATATCGCTTATTTCTATACTATTCCTATCTCTGTTCTTATCGCTGTTGCCTCATATAATTGTCTAGAATTTAACTTTAAGTTAATGCTGTATGTAATAAAGTCATAGCAGGAACATAAAATTTCAAGCATTCGAAAGATGAAGTTTCAAGCTTTAAAACGCTTTTTTATACATTCCTCTACGATGATTTTTTGCAAAGATACTTAATTTTGAATTTGCTTCTTTTAGTACCGACTTTAAGTAATTCCCTGATTTTTCAAGTGTATTTTCTAAACCTCTTAAATCTTTTTTAATATATTTACAAACATGTAGAGTTCTTTACTTTTGCACTAGGACCTCAAAAATCCTTTGCACGACGCTGGTTCTATCGGTTGCACGCACAGAAGCTTTATGACTTGTTAGCTGATTAGATTTTGCCGATTTACCTCGTAGAATTCGGATAAATAAATCATTTAACGTAGTCCGGCTTATTCACGTAAGTGATAATCGCCAATTGCTAGAAAGCAAATTTCACTAGTCAATGTTTAGCGTTTATGTAATGCCGATTTCTAGAGATTCGTTTTTCTTCCGGGAAAAGATCTAGTTGCATAAATTGGAAATCTGATAAATTCAATCGGAAAGACATAATTTTAAATAAGTTAGCTTTTAACTAATTAACTTCAACTGATTACTTTATTATGTATAAAATATATTAATTGCTTGTCTAAGTTAATATCTTTTATCTTTGAGAATGTCATTTCTTTTTTTATATATAGAATTTTGAACATTAAATTAGGCAATTAGAGAAGCTCAATAGCGTAATATCTTGTTATTGCAAGATTATTTGTATTTCTTTCAAATTTAAAAAAAAAGAGAAAATAAGAAAAGTTTATTTAAATGCACGTTTCGTTAATATTTCGTTACAATTTTATTTAAATCATGTATAAGTATTCTTTTATGATAATTATTATTAATCTAATAATCTTTATCTATATTCTTTGTATAATTCTTTCTATGTAATCTTTTAAATATTATTCATTAGTTTTCTATATAA